TGATGCACTCAAGTGTGGCAGCGGTAGTGAGGTTGGCCCAGGATCGGACATTGTTTCGTTCTGCTGTGCATGGGGTCGCTATGAGTCGGTTCCGACTTGATGGCACCTGACAACAACAACAACAGCAGAGATGATAGAGCTATTGCTGATTTTTTTTTTTCCCCTTGAGAGTAACTGGGGAATTTACTGGAACTTCTTTCATGAGGTGAATGAGTGGAAGAAAGAAAGTTGGAAAGCCCTGGTTTGTCCAGCTCTGACCAGGTTCCCATTTCTTAATATCCTCAGTGTCAGCTAGTTAGCAATTCACACATGCCTGTGAAGGTTGGACAAAGAATAAGGAAACCCACAGCACACTGTCTGATACAAATTTCTTGAAGTGGATTTCCAATCCTTTTAACATTGTACTCCACAAACTTTCCTTGTTTCTGTTCTTAAATGCCTTAGATTCGGTTCTTACTCATAGTAGCGCTATATGGGGTTTCCAAGGAGTTATTGGTGAGCTTAAACTGCTGACCTTGCAGTTCAAACTGACCTTGCAGTGCAGCGCATTAACCTGACTTGTGACTGCTGTCAATTTGGTTGACTCATGGTGAGCCCATTCAGAGAAGGAAACACTACATAGTCCCGCATCATCCTCAGAATCATTGCTGTATTTGTGGTCAGTGTTGCAGCCACTGTGTCAGTTTGTCTCATCAAGTCTCTTTCTATAATTTGCTGACCCTCTACTGTACTATTTTCAATGATGTCATTTGCATGGAAAGTTCAGCAATGAATAAGGACGATCATAGAAAAATTGATGCATTTAAGTTGTGGTCTTGGAGAAGAATATTGAGAGTACCATGGTCTGCTAGAAGAACAAACAATTCTGTGTTGAAAGAGACACAACCAGATGCTCCTTGGAAGTCAATATTGCCAGACTTTGTCTCTCATGCTTTGAACATATTGTTAGGAAGGACCAGGCCCTGAAGAAAGACATAGTGTTTAGTAATGTGGAGGGTCAGCATAAAGGAAACCCACAATAACCTGGATTAGCACAGTGGTAGGAGCAATGGCGTCAAGTGTAACGGCAGGTGTGAGGATGGCACAGGACTGCGTGGTGTTTCATTCTGTTATACAGAAGGTCACTAAGGGCTGGAACTGAGTCAACGGCTTCTGACAATAACTATTATACTAAGTGTAACATCTTTCTTTAGGGACTGATCCCTTCTAATAATATAGCGAGGGTACGTGATGTGAAATCTTACTATCTTCACTTTTAAGGAGCATCCTGAGGTGCTTCCAGAAACATGCCTTACT